AAACTGATTAATAGTATAATGTTTTATTCCTCCTAGGGGTTATAATTTACCAGAGATGGAAGCCTTGGCTTCTTCTGAGAGAGAGCCTGCAGGAATCTTTGGGACAGTAGGTGGAGTAGGGTTTGAGGTAGGGGAGATAGATCTATGTAGAAACTGCTGGAGTCCCACCACACAGAGAGAATATTCCAGCTTTCCAGGGGCCAGGAATGTTTGTTGTTTTTTTTTTAATGGATTAATGATTTTTAATTACATCAGTGTAGTTTTTAGAAGAAGGGAGAAAAATATACCTACATATTGGTCTGTCACTGAGATGCAAAATAACTTAATAGCTTCTGTTTCTGTGCCTCAACTGCTATAAATTTATCACACCTTCATCAGAATTGATCTTATTCATATTTTCATGCTTAATGGAAAGCATAACTAGATTGATAAATCTGTCCTTTTAGTTGTTCTAAGAATAGTTTTTATTAATTTTAATTTAGAAAAGGAATGTATGTTGATGGTGAGAAAATTAGCTGGATTTCAAGTTTGATTAGGAATATTTGCTAGCATATGAGGTCAGCTGCTTGTAGTAGAAACTCAAAATAAAGAGTGGCTTTGTTGTTGTTCAGTCGCTCAGTTGTGTCCGACTCTGCAATTGCATGGACTGCAGCACACCAGGCTTCCCTGTCCTTTATCATCTCCCAAAGTTTGCTCCATTGAGTCAGTGATGCTATCCTACCATCTCATCCTCTGTCGCCCCCTCCTCCTTTTGTCCTCAATCTTTCTCAGCATCAAGGTCTTTTCCAAAGAGGCGACTCTTCGCATCCGGTGACCAAAGTATTGGAGCTTCAGCATCAGCCCTTCCAATGACTATTCAGGGTTGATTTCCTTTAGGATTGACTGGTTTGATCGCCCTGCTGTCCAAAGGACTCTCAAGAGTAGCTTATACAAAATGCAAATATCTTTCCCACGGAACAGTCTGGAAGAAGGTGCTTCAGTGCTTGTATGGTAGCTTTGCTCTTTGAGACCGTCTAGGGGCCCAGGCTCATGCTGACATTTTGCTCTGCCTTTGCAGAGGATGGCCTATACCAGCTTGATCCAAGGTGCCTCTTCCCCACATTCACACTGAAAACAGCAGAAGGGAGGAAGGGGGACACATACCTCCATTTAAGGATGTGACTCGAAGTTACACATACGGCTTCTGCTCACGTTGCTTTGGCTGGGTCTTTCCACACCAGCTGGAGGGGAGGTTGGAAAGTGTCATCTTTATTTGTGTGACCATGTGCCCTGTGAAAGAGAAGAGGAGATGGTCATTGAAGACTCACTAACAGGCCTGATGAGCAGGTTTGAGGAGAAAATGTTGGAAGGCTGCAGTCACTTGCGTGGGTATGCAGAGAGGGGTGTTTGTGTGGGGCTGGGGGTGGACCAGGCAATAAGAAGTCTGGATGCTCCTTCTCCTGTGATTTCACTTCTAGCAATTTGGTTTTATGTGTTTTATGTCTGCTTCCCATCTAATGTCTTCAGTTCCAGGCTCTCTTGTACTTCTTAGATTTCAATTTTGGGGTTGAGAAGATACATTCATGGTCTTTAGTCAAGTGATTCCAATTAATAACCATAGCATGAGCAAATACTATAGACTACATGACACGTTAGATGTGGGAATATGATGCTGAATAAGTGTCTGCCCTCAGGAATTTTATGGTCCACATCATGATTTCTCAACCACAAAACTTCTGATGTTTGGGCCTGAGTAATTTTTTGTTCAGAGAAGGCAATGGCAACTCACTCCAGTCCTTGGGGTAAGGAGTGGGCTCTACCTACTAGATGTCAGTAGCCACTCCCCTCCTAGTTGTGACAAGCAAAAACATCTCAAAATATTGCCAAATGTACCCAGGGGTGGAAGTATGAGGTGGAGTATAGCAGCCCCTACGTGAGAACCATTGATTCAAAGTTATAAGTTAGGTCCCTGGATCTTAGGGTGTGGTTCCTAGGCTAATAGCCTCAGTAAAATGTTGTCAGAATCACCTGAAACTTATTAGAAAAGCAAATAATCAGACCTTACCCCAGAACAACTGAGAAACTCTAGGAATGGGGCTTAGGGGTCTGTGCTTTAAAAGCTCTCCAGGTGATTCTGAGATTTCTAACGCTTGAGAACTGCTAAGCCAGATCTTTCATTCAGTGCTTTCAATTCACTGTATTAAGTCGTAGAGGAAGGCATACCCTGAATGCCATAAGAACGCCAAGAAAGGCAGCTAATCCGACCTGTAGAAGTCACAGGCAGCTTATCAAGTAGGCAGAAGTGACACCTGCATCTGGAAGTTTATGTAGATAACAAGCAGATGTAAAAGCAGAGGAGGAATGAATAAACCTACCCAGAGGACTGAAGGAGCACAGTGCATTTAATGTCACTAGATGGTGAAGTCTGAAGTCAGGTGGCCCTAGGCTTTGGGATTGGAGGTGCAGGCAGGAATTTGGTTGCGGGTGCGCCTGGCATGGTATGCTGGACAGTTGTTTTTAAGCTGCTTAGCCTCTGAATCCTTTTTCAATGTGTGGACACTATACCTATGCATGAATCTTGGTGGGAGGCCAGGTTATTTCTGCATTGGGGAAATGGGATTTTCAGAGGCTAGCTCTCCCCTGCCCAGTGGCAGCTAGGGCAAAGGCATGTACCTGGGGCCTGCCAGTCGGATGCCCACTCCCAGGCCTTGATTCTGGAGCTCACAGGAAGAGAGAGCAGGGTACTCAAGCCAGTGGCCATGGCAGTGCTGACAGCAGCGTCCTCTGTTGTGTGTGGCCGTGGAGCTCTATCCAGCACGAGTCCTGACATTCTCTCCAGCTGGCTCTTCAGGCCTGACTTTGACCACTCCTGGTCTTGTTTGTTCAGGCTCCCCTGACTCTTGCCCATTTTCTTACCTGATTCTTCAGCCTTTCTAGTGATTCTGTCAATTCACTTCAGTTCAGTTGCTCAGTCCTGTCCAACTCTTTGCGACCCCATGGACTGCAGCACACCAGGCTTCCCTGTCCTTCACCAGCTCCCAGAGCTTACTCAAACTCATGTCCATCACGTTGGTGATGCCATCCAACCATTTCATCCTCTGTCGTCCACTTCTCCTCCTGCCTTCAATTTTTCCCAGCATCAGGGTCTTTTCCAATGAGTCGGTTCTTCGCATCAGGTGGCCAAAGTATCGGAGTTTCAGCTTCAGCATCAGTCCTTCCAATGAATATTCAGGACTGATGTCCTTTAAGATTGACTGGTTGGATCTCCTTGAAGTCCAAGGGACTCTCAGGAGTCTTCTCCAACACCACAGTTCAAAAGCATCAATTCTTTGGCGCTCAGCTTTCTTTGAATTACCTTTCAGTAAATTCTTTCTCCATTTAATTATTCATAGATCATCATCAGCCAGAGGGGGTTTCTGTGGCTCACAACTAAGCATCCTGGATGTTATATATGGGAAATGAAGAGCCTCTGCAGAAGGGACGGCTACCACTTACCATCTATACTACGGAAAATGAAAGAATGACACCTGTCCCTTACTGAGCACATGCTGCATTAGGCGCTTTATCTAAATCATCTCCTGATCCTTAGAACAACCCTTTAGTAGATACCCTTATTATTATCCTCATTTTATACATGGAAAGCTGAGTTTTGAACCTAGGCATTCTGTCCAGAGCCTGTTTCCCTGACAACCAGGACCAAAACCCTATCCAAATCCCCAATTTTTTTTTCAAGGTCTCTATCACCTGTCAACCCCCACCACAAAATGGCACCCCCCCTAAGTTTGCCTGTGTATGTGATGATCTTCCCCTTATGTTTTATTTCACCCACATATTGTGTCTAATCTGTGGCTCAGAAGATCAGGTACTTGTTTTCATGTCACCCTAGAATTATTTCATATCTCTCTGATATCTTTGTCTTCCAACTTTATCATAAGCAACTTGTGGGTTCTAATCCTAACTGTGTCACTTACTGGGAGGTGGTCACAAACCAGAATTATTGAAAATGTAAATATGACCTGGCAGCATTGCTATGGGCAGGGGCAGTTTTCAAAATGCTGTGTTTAACAACTGATTCACAAGACCACTGGCCAGGCAGGGTCTGGTCTTTGTCTCTAAGTTGTGTCCGACTCTTTGTGACCCCAGGGACTGTAGCCTACTGGGCTCCTCTATTCATGGAATTTCCCAGGCAAGAATACTGGGTTACCATTTCCTTCTCCAGAGGATCTTCCTGACCCAGGGATCAAACCTGCTTCTCCTGCATCATCAGGCGAACTTTCTACCACTGAGCCACCAAGGAAGCCTGGCCAGGCAGGGTAGTAAATGGCTGTAAATATCTGTAACGCCTGGACTATGCAAATGACTGAATATTAGCTCTAGTTGTAAAAAGAAAAATAATGAATAGAGTTCTTTGTAAGCTGTACAGCTTGACAAACTCTGCATTATCAGTTCACCTTCCATGTCTATTTTAGCTGCCACAAAGCCTAGCATATTCTTATATACTTGGTACTTGATAAATCTCTGAATTAATGGATGAATGAGTGAATAATCAACATGATGCATGCCTTCAACCTGCTGTTAAAATCAGTAATTCCCTGTTTTAGTTGCGTAAAATACCCTGGGCCATCTCCTTGATTGTTTGGTGGTGAGGGGCTCATGAATCTCTCAAACAGGTCTCCCACCACACTAAGCTTTGAGTCACAGATTTGAACACCAAGTGATATAAGTCATATTGCACCTTCAGAGAGATGGAGACAGGAACCTTGAAATCAAACTAAGAAAGCTGGCTCGGCAAGTCCAGTCTCCACTCCACTGGGTCCCTGGTTCAGATGAGGGGATTGGTGTCCTGCAAAGTCTAGCCTGGGAAGCTAGGGGCTCCATGTGGCCATTCTCCAAGGCAAGCAGCAGCTCCCAGGAGCCCCAGTGGATCGGCCTGGGTTGCCCCAGGGCCCACCTACCTGCCTGGCACTCGGAGCCTGTTGCTGAAAGTTCTTTTCGTCCTTCTGTTCCTTCTTCCGTTGCCATCACGCCGACAGCTGCAGGAGCACATGGAGGTTGCTTGGCAGCTGCTTGCCACAGATGCTGGGCTCTGTAATGTACTTCTCCCCCCTCTGCTGCTGCTTCGGAGTGTTTCTCTGGCTGCCGGGATGTCTTCGTCCCCGCCTGTGGGAGGGGTGGGCGCTGAGGTGCTAGTGGGGTGTGAAGCCGTGGGGGACTGGTGCTGCTGAGTTGGCAATATGGCTAAGTCCTCAAGATCAGCTTTGCCTTTTTCACACACAAGTGTCATTTTTAACTGTTCTGCATGCCTGAGAATGATTTCAGGCTGGCCTGGAGGGAAATATGTTGGGATGTCTTTTTCTCTGCATTGTTGGAAGCCTTGCCTCCATCCAGGTCATCATTTTCTGGGCTGCTTCCTTGCAGGGACCTCCCAACTGAACTGGCCTCTTTCCCTCTAACTTGCCCGCTTTCTTCCACCTTCCATGGTGCTACCATACTGACTTTCCTGTAGCCAAATCTGACCATCTCTCTTCTTCTATTTTTTTGAATCCTCATAGCTTGGAAGATTAAATCTGAACTTAGTGTGACTAAAAGGCCCTCCGTGACTCATCTGTGTTGCAGCCACATTTATTTTGACCGAAACAAATCAGCTGCTTCTTAACTCGATCTTGGACTTGCATTCACACCAGCCTAGGAGTTTTTTCCTTCCTCTTTCTTTCTGTCTGTTCACCTGGTTCACTCCATCTGAGCCAGAGAGATCTCCAGGCATGTTGTTTGTGTGTTTTTTTTCAGTGTAGCCTCTCTCCTTTAACCTGATCCTTGATGGATCAAACTGGAAAAGTTACTGACAGAACCATTTCTGTATAGAGATAACCATTCAGGCAAAGCTGCTGTTGATTAAACGGCCTACTCTGTGCCAAGCGCTGGGGCACAAACATAGCTGAGATTCAGTGCCAGTTCTTAAGGAGTGTGTGCAGTTGGAGAGATGGAGGAGGAAGCACACAATTAAAACAGAAAAAACAACAAACTCTATGACACAGGCAAGTACAGGATGTTACAGGAATCAGATGCTCTCATAACATCCTGAATTTCCTTCTGTTTTATTAGTTCTGTGATGAGTTTATGTGTTTTCAGTTTGTCTGTCTCCCCAACAATTTCTGAGTTTCTTGAAGGCAGGGTCTATATCTTTCTCAAGTTGTACCCTTCATGCCCACATGACGTCTGGTACAGAACTTCAAGAAATGCCTTTGGGCAAATGCAGCTCCACCCATAAATGGTGTGTCCACATGAGGATGGCCTTGCAAGAGGCCCTGAACGTAGGGTCACCATGTGTCTCTCCAGGAGAGTGGCAACCCCAAGGAGTGTCCTGGATTCCTCTCGGGTTGAAGGACACAGCAAAGAACACATGGGAAGTTGGGGGGCCTGTAGTTTCTGAAATTTTCTACCTTGCTTGCAGAAACTTGGTCACTCTGCTTCAGCAATCCCCAACCTTTTTGGCACCAAGGACCGTTTTGGTGGGAGACAATTTTTCCATGGACTAGGGTAGTGGTGGTAGGCAATGATTTTTGGATAATTCAAGCACATTACATTTATTCTACACTTTATTTCTTTTTTTTGTAATATACATTTTTATTCTTTAATAATACCCTTATAGATAATTTTTATTCATTGTTTACTCTCAAATCTCAGTCTTCATTTGTTTTTTTTGGTCTTCATTTTAAATGGATATATTTTCCTTGGTCATCTAGTAATATAAATCTTAGATAAAAAGACTTCCTATACAATGGCTTTTTTTCCTTTTTAAAAAAATTTTATTATTATTTTTAACACCAAGAACATTTTGTATTGGGGAATAGCCAATTAACAATGCTGTGATAGTTTCAGAACTGTGAAGGAACTCAGCCGTACATACACATGCATCCATTCTCCAAACCCTACTCCCATCCAGGGTGGCACATAGCATTGAGCAGAATTCAATGTGTTATACAACAGGTTTCTGTTGGCGGTCCATTTTAAATAGAGTAGTGTTGTGCACTTTATTTCTAATCTAATGCCACTCTGATCTAACAGGAGGTACCAGCCAAAGGCCCAGAGGTTAGAGATCCCTATTCTACTTGTTCCTCATCATTTCCCTCTCTCTTAAGAACCCACTTCCTCTGCTCTACTTTTCCCCTGTTTTGTTCAGAGAAAGCATCCATTAAAGGACATCACATGCTATTTCAAATAAAATTAAAGGGCTTCGGAGATGGCACAATTGTAGAGAGTCCACCTGCCAATGCAGGAGATGCAAGAGACGCAGGTTCAATCCCTGGGTTGGGAAGATCCCCTGGAGGAGGAAATGGAAGCCCATTCCAGTATTCTTGCCTAGAGAATTCCATGGACAGAGGAGCCTGGAGAGCTACAGTTCATGGGGGTCCCAAAGGGTCAGACCCAACTGAGCGCACACACACACACACACACACACACACACACACATACAGAAATTAAATTTTACATCACTGTAGAGAAATTAGAAAACCCTGATAAGTACAAAGGTAAACAAAAGCTTAAGTAACCCCACCACCCAGCACTGCCTGAATCACTGCTACTGATGTGTTGGTGTACAACCTTTCAGATTTTTCTCTGCACACATGTCCAGGGAGTGTGTGAGTTAAGACTTTGGACTGAGGCTGCCTGAGTCTGAATCTTGGCTTCACCATTTACTGACTGGGTGATGGAGGCCATTTGGCTGACTCAGCCTCTCGGTACACCCTCACGGCTCAGTGGAGTTCGTTGGAAGACTTAGAGCACAGTGCTGTTGAGAGACTGAAATATTCTATTGGTGCTTACAACACTACCTGGTGCATAGTAAATATAAATGTATTTAATTAACAAATATTTACTGTGGGCCTATTTTATGCCAGGCACTTTTCTAGACAACATTTAACATTTAGCCAAAAGGGCCACTGCTAGTATGCAGTTTATATCCTGGTTTATCCACCGAATACATTAACTAGCTTTGGTATTACAAAGAGTATCAGATTATGTACTGCATTGATTCTGCTTTTCTCATTTACAGCATCTTGCTGTGTATTACAACATTTTTCAGCATCATGAAATCTTGTATTATTCCTATAATAGTCATATAGTATTTCATTGAATGGATACCATATTTTATTTAACAGTCTCCTTTTACTCGGTATTTAAATAGCTTCCAATTTTTCATATTTTCAAAACCCAGTACAGTGAAAGTCTGATACACACAACTTTCTGCACTGACCTGGGTATTCCATCAAGAGATAGAAGTTACAGATCAGGGAGCACACACGTGAGTAGTGTTTCTGGTAGACGTGGCCTCCTGAGATGATTATGGACCAAACTGCCAGCTCCAGTGCTGTGGTTGAGAGAACGGTTCTCCATACTCTCATCTGAACCAATGCTGAGCTTTTTTATTCTTTCAAATTAGGGCAAACATGGTGTCATGTCATTTTTATTTGCATTTCTTTAGCTTCAGGTGAGGCTGATTTCATATATTTATATAACAGTCTTTGTATTTTTAGATATTTTTATATCTTATAATATTAGAGAATTATATATATGTGCTTGTGCTAAGTCACTTCAGTCATGTCTGACTCTTTGTGATCCCACGGACTGTAGCCCACCAGGCTCCTCTGTCCATGGGCTCCTCCAGGCAAGAATACTGGAGTGGGTTGCCATGCCTTTCTCCAGCAGATCCTTCCCATTCAGGGATCAAACTTGGCTCTCCTGCACTGCAGGCAGATTCTTTACCATCTGAGCCACTATAGTGTTTATATTTTTTATTGGCTATTTGTATTTCTTATTTTCTTTTTTAAAATATTTTTTTGATGTGGACCATTTTTAAAGTCTTTATTGAATGTGATACAACATTGTTTCTGTTTTATGTTTTGGTTTTTTGGCCACAAGCCATGTGGGATCTTTGTTCACCGACCAGGGATCAAATCCTCACCCCCGGCATTGGAAGGTGAAGTCTTAACCACTGGACAGCCAGGGAAGTCCCAGTATTTCTAATTTTTTTTGTTGATCACTTGTGTCCCTTAAAGCCTCTGACTTTGATAAGATGATCTTGGATGTTGCTTAGACTGAATAGTCTTTCTCTGTGAAAGGCCTAGACCCTTGGTAAGCTTTGTGAGGTAATGGTTTCAAGGGACATGTGCCCAGCCTTCTCTGCGATGTATTTACATTTTCCACTAAAAATGTCTAATGTTATAAATCTGACTCTTCTGCATTTCAGCAGTGATGTGGTTTTAATACTAATGAACCACTTTTTGTGCATCTCAGTGAGAGCAGGGGCCACTTTGGCAGAGACTGAAAGATGCTAGGTGTTGTCTGGTTGTGTGTGATGGATGTATGATCCGGTGCACACCTATATCTCCCTCAACTGTAATTGTTGGCATAACTGAGTGTGCATGTGTGTCTGCCTATGTACATGTCTGTATCTTGAGCTGAGATCAGAAAACCACATGTGTATTTTGGGGTCTCTGTGAGGTTACATAAGTACCTTTGTGTTTCCATGACCTGAATCTATCTCCCAAGGGATGTTTTGTTCAAAATTTGCTTCTTGTAGGAAGACTGCCCTGATTATCCACTCAGCCTCAGATTACTTCCCTCTGAACTTCCTGAGCACATGTGTTTCACATCTAAACTTGCAAATGCATTGCTAAAAGCGTGTCCTCAATAACTCATATAAAGTTTTTCTCACATGAGAACCCTCTGCCTTTGCCTCTGACCACTTGGAAATGAGATTCTGGGCTTTATCACATCCCCTCAAAACAGATCCAACCCACGAAGCATTAGTGAGTAATGTAGAACTGACTACAATTTTATGGGGAGATGAAGGAGAAAGCTACATGATACAACACCCAACAATAAATAAAGACAAAGATCTTCGCTTTCTCTTGTCAGAGTTCCTCTTTAGTCATGGGGAGGGTGAGATGGCATGACCGACTCAAGGGCATCACCAACTCAATGGACATGCATTTGAGCAAACTCCGACTCAATGGACTGAGTTTGGATAGCATCACCGACTCAGTGGATGTGAGTTTGAGCAAACTCCAGGAGATAGTGAAGGACGGGAAGTCTGGTGTGCTGCAGTTCATGAGGTCGCAAAGAGTCGGACACAGCTTAGTGACTGAACAAGAACATGG